CTCTCTCTCTATCTGTCTCTCTTATTCTCTCTCTCTCTCTATCTGTCTCTCTTATTCTCTCTCTCTCTATCTGTCTCTCTTATTCTCTCTCTCTCTATCTGTCTCTCTCTCTCTCTCTCTCTCTCTCTCATATGGATCAATATATCCTCAATCATGCAATGAATATTAAGCAATTTGATCCATTTTAGTCCATCACTTTGTCTCCCCCCTCCCCCCCCCTTTCCCCCACTCCTCCTCCTCCCCCTCCCCCCTCCCACATCTTATTTGATTTCCCGAGAGAAATTAATGCGAAAATGAATGAGAAAATTGGGTAAAAATGCCGCCGTGCTCATTTTTTAAATATTTTTTTAGGGGGATTGTCTCTGCACATAGATGGCTCTGCTGGTGCTTTAGTCTCAAAGGGAGTCAGTTCGTTGACCTTGTGACCTGACCTGATTTCGCCTTTCCTTGAATTGGTGGGGAAAATGCATTTTTTATACTAGTGGTATGAATATCGATGGGTGTTATTTTTATTATAAACATAATAACTATAATATCAGTTTTAGTAACTGCAAAATAAAATAACGTAAAATATATTCGTAAATTAAAGAAAAGGGTAAACGGGCGAGACAGTACTCTTAACTGGCTCATTGGTGACTTAGTACAAGCATAGCTATCTATGTATAAAAAAACAATCAAACAAGTAAACTCACAGCGGGCATGGCATGGCATGACACGTACGTACATGTCACGCCCGTAGGCATTGGATTTATCTCCCTTTTATTTATGTCGGTGTGAATTCGTAAAGTTACTGGGTTAATCTACTCGGTTTTCCCCTTGGGTTTTACGCCATTATTTTGCTTAATTATTACTTGCCAAATTATTGTTATGAATTGTTGATATTATGTCTTTATTTCGCCGAATTGGTATCTGATTATTCTCGGTGGTATGGATTCGTAAGCAACATTGGTTTAATCGCCTTTATATATCCGTAAGTACGAATTCGCAACTTCGCCAAATTGATATGCTTATTTCCGTTAGCTGTAAGTCACTTCTCAACCCCCCCCCCCTCCCCCCTCCCCTCCCCCTGATCTCTTTGAGTCAACCCTAAGCCACTTCGTCCCAGATCCTAGCATTGTCTCGACTCGCTGTTCCATTGATGCGGATACTTTCTGACTTCCCCCTTCTCTCCCCCCTCTCATCTCCCCTCCCCCTCCCCCCCCTCACCTCCCCTCCCCCTTCTCCCCCCTCACCTCCCCTCCCCCCTCACCTCCCCTCATCTCCCCTCCCCCCTCCGTTTCGCTTGTTACCTCCCTTCTCTAGCCTCACTCGACCACCTCCTTTGTTCCATCAGCTGAGTTTCATCGCCTTCTCGCCTCTCCCCTAGAGTAGTCCCGATCCATCATGCTTCGTTTCTCGCCTCGAAACCCACCATTTCAAAGAGTGACTCCCCCTCCCCCCCCTCCCACACTTCTTGTGTCTTTCACTTCACCCCCACCCCCATAGCACCAAGAGTCATCCCAAATCCCATAGTAGTTGTAACCCCACCGTTCAATTGACACTATTCCGTTCCGCAAACTGACAACTCTCCCTCTCGTCTCTCCCCCCCTCGCCCCCATAGCACAGAGAGACCCTATAGCAGACGCAACCCACCGTTCTGTTCCGCATACTGGCTCCTCTCTTTCTCGTCTCCCGCCCCCCTCCCCCACCAAGAGACACCATAGTCACAACCCACCATTCGATCAACTCCATTCCGTTCCGAAAACTCTCTCTCATCTCTCCCCCTCTCACGCCCCATAGCACCAAGAGACCCTATAGCATTCGCAACCCTGTGACCCTATATATAACTCTCTTTCACGTCTCCCCCCCCCTCCCCCCCTACAGCACCAAGAGACCCCATAGTAGTCACAACCCACAGTTCGATCAACTCCGTTCCGCAAAACCGACTCCTCTCCCCATAGCACCAAGAGACCCCATAGCATTCGCAACCCTGTGACCCCATATATTCCGCAAACTAACTCTCTCTCTCTCGTCTCTCTCTCTCCCTACCCCCCATAGCACCCAGCTGAACCCCCTCGAGGCCTTGACCAAAGCTTTCAAACAGACCACAGAGGAAGGCAAGATGAGCGGCCGCGCCATGAAATACCCCTACACCCTTTCGGCCAAGTTGGCGCAGTTCCCATTCTCGTACTACGTCAAGAACCAGTGGGTGTTCAAGTACTACCTCATTGGTGTCGCCGTCTCCATTCCCGTGTTCAGCTGGTTCCAGAAGCAAGGTGAGGAGAGGCTGTTGGATAATTAGTAATAATTGTGATGATTTTAATGAGGATAATGATAGTAATAATGGTGGTGATGATGATGATTAAAAAAGTAATGCTAATAATAGTAATAATAATGATAATGATAATGATTGTAATAATGATGATGGTGATAATAATGATAATAAATTGTAATGATAGTAATAATAAGAATGATAATGATAGTGGTAACTATCATTATCACACACACAGGGAGACAGACAGACACACAATTATTAGCTGCCTGTTTCAATATCCGTTCCCCTTGCACCTTCGTCTCTGACAGAGAGACACAGAGACAGAAACAGACACAAACAGACAGAGACAAGCATGTACACAAACTTACTAACTTTCATTGGCTGTTCCCTCAAAATCCTCTTCTCTTACACACACGCACACACACACGCGCACACACACACGCACACGCACACACACACACACACACACACACACACACACACACACACACGCACACACACACACACACACACACACACACACACACACAGTCACACACACAGTCACACACACACACACACACGCACACACAGTCACACACAAACCCCTTCCCCCCACACACGCACACACAAAATCAAACACAGACAGACAGAGACAAGCATACAGACAATCAATTACACACACACACACACACACACCCACCCACACCCACACACCCACACCCACACACCCACACCCACACCTAAACACAGACAGACAAACTGACAGACACACACACACACACACACCTAAACACAGACAGACAGAGACAAGCATACAGACAATCAATTACACACACACACACACACACACACACACACACACACACACAAACAGACAAACTGACAGACACACACGGACTCACTAACCGTCCTCGTCTCTTCCAGCTTGCTCGCCTGCCAACAAGGCAAAGTGGGAAGCGAAGGGAAAGGAAGAGCACTAAACGGGAGATGGAAGAGAATTAACGCTAAACACCGAGAGAGACGGAAGAGAGAAGAAGAGGGAATAAGGGAGAATAAGAGAAGAAAGAAGAAGAGGAGAGGAGAGAGATGATGATGAAAAGGAAAGAGACGGAAGAGAGAAGAAGAGGGAATAAGGGAGAATAAGAGAAAATAAGAGAAGAAAGAAGAGGAGGAGAGGAGAGAGATGATGATGAAAAGGAAAGAGACAGAAGAGAGAAGAAGAGAAGAAAAGGAGGAGAGAAGAGAGAGACAATGATAAAAAGGAGATAGGAAAGGTGTTAATTTCTTTGTAGATATTATATATTTTTTTTGGTTTCCGGAAATGTTTTTTTTCTTTCTTTCAAAGTGAAAATTTACCTTTTTTTTTTTTTTTTTTTTTTTTTTCCCTCTCTCTCTATTGCGTAATATTTTAATGTTGCTGTATAAAGTTTGGAAATAAAAAATATGTAACTGAATTGTTATTCATTTAAATTTTTATTTTTGTCCTTTTCTTGAAATATATTTGCAATATCTATATTTTTATTAGTTTTTCATATATTTAAAATTTTGAATATTAGAATGAAAATGATATAAATGAAAATTAATAAAGATAAGCATACTAATTGAACCTAAATATCTTCAGAAAATACTTGTCTCAAAATGCTTTTTCTTGTCTCAAAATGCTTTTTCTTGTCTCAAAATGCTTTTTCTTGTCTCAAAATGCTTTTTCTTGTCTCAAAATGCTTTTTCTTGTCTCAAAATGCTTTTTCTTGTCTCAAAATGCTTTTTCTCGTCTCAAAATGCTTTTTCTCGTCTCAAAATGCTTTTTCTCGTCTCAAAATGCTTTTTCTCGTCTCAAAATGCTTTTTCTCGTCTCAAAATGCTTTTTCTCGTCTCAAAATGCTTTTTCTCGTCTCAAAATGCTTTTTCTCGTCTCCAAATACTTTCATCTGAAAATGCTTTTTCTGGTCTCAAAATGCTTCTTGTCCAAAAAATATTTCTTCGCATCTTGGAAAGCGAATTCAGTTTGAAATTTAACAAAATTCTCTTATTAACAATTTATCCGAGATCCATCGGCATCCAACGGAAAGGGAGACCGAATGAGAGAGAGATAGAATGAGAGGAGAGAGAGAGAGAGAGACAGAACGAGAGGAGAGAGAGAGAGAGAGACAGAACGAGAGGAGAGAGAGAGAGACAGAACGAGAGAGAGAGACAGAACGAGAGAGAGAGAGAGAGAGACAGAACGGAAGGAGAGAGAGAGAGAGAGACAGAACGAGAGGAGAGAGAGAGAGATAGATAGAACGAGAGGAGAGAGAGAGACAGAACGAGAGGAGAGAGAGAGAGACAGAACGAGAGGAGAGAGAGAGATAGAACGAGAGGAGAGAGAGAAAGAGACAGAACGAGAGGAGAGACGAGAAAGAGATAGAACGAGAGGAGAGAGAGAGAAAGAGATAGAACAGACGAGGCATAGAGAGAGAGATAGAACGAGAGGAGAGAGAGAAAGAGACAGAACGAGAGGAGAGAGAGAAAGAGATAGAACGAGAGGAGAGAGAGAGAAAGAGATAGAACAAGAGGAGAGAGAGAGATAGAACAAGAGGAGAGAGAGAGAGAGATAGAACAAGAGGAGAGAGAGAAAGAGAGAACGAGAGGAGAGAGAGAAAGAAAAGATAGAACGAGAGGAGAGAGAGAAAGAGATAGAACGAGAGGAGAGAGAGAGAAAGAGATAGAACGAGAGGAGAGAGAGAAAGATAGAACGAGAGGAGAGAGAGAGAAAGAGATAGAACGAGAGGAGAGAGAGAGAAAGAGATAGAACGAGAGGAGAGAGAGAGAAAGAGATAGAACGAGAGGAGAGAGAGAGAAAGAGATAGAACGAGAGGAGAGAGAGAGAGATAGAACGAGAGGAGAGAGAGAGAGAGATTGAACGAGAGGAGAGAGAGAGAGAGATTGAACGAGAGGTGAGAGAGAGAACGATAGAACGAGAGGAGAGAGAGAGAGATTGAACGAGAGGAGAGAGAGAGAGAGATTGAACGAGAGGAGAGAGAAAGAGACAGAACGAGAGGAGAGAGAGAGAGAGAGAACGAGAGGAGAGAGAGAGAGAGAACGAGAGGAGAGAGAGAGAGAGAGAGAGATAGAATGAGAGGAGAGAGAGAGAGAGAGAGACTGAACGAGAGGAGAGAGAGAGAAAGAGATAGAACGAGAGGAGAGAGAGAGAGAGAGAGAGAGATAGAATGAGAGGAGAGAAAGAGATAGAATGAGAGGAGAGAGAGAGAGAGAGAGAGATAGATCCAGAGGAGAGAGAGAGAGAAAGAGATAGAACAAGAGGAGAGAGAGAGAAAGATAGAAGGAGAGGAGAAAGAAAGAGAGAGAGACAGACAGACACGTGAGTGAACACAAAAAAAAGATCTCGGCGCTCGCTTTGACTAAATTTTACGTGGCCTAATAGTTCAATACTGACAGTATACTAAAGGCCGTATACAGACTGACTGTATATTCACTAATATGCTGACTGTATATTAACTAATATTCTAACTGTATATTAACTAATATTCTGACTGTTTATTAACTAATATCCTGACTGTATATTAATCAATATGCTGACTGTATACTAACTAATATTCTGACTGTATACTAACTAATATTCTAACTGTATACTAACTAATATGCTCACTGTATATTAACTAATAATCTGACTGTATATTAACTAATATCCTGACTGTATATTAATCAATATGCTGACTGTATACTAACTAATATGCTGACTGTATACTAAGGGTAATATGTTAACTTGTATACTAATAGTTAAATACTAACTGTATACTAACAGTACAGTCAGTATATTAGTAATATACTGATTGAATACTAAGAGTAATATGCTGACTAACAGTATTATACTAACTGTATGCTAACTAGTATACTGACTATATACTAACAGTAGCATACTGACTGTATACTAATTGTACAGTATATTAACAGTAATACGCTGACTGTATATTAATATGCTGACTTATTGTCGCAACACTCCGCCTCAGATCTAGATGCATCCCGAGATCTCACCAGTAGGTGTTCCATCTCGAGAGGCTCAAGAGTGAGGAGGTGGCTCAGGAGTGTGCAGTGGCAGTCTCAAATCGGTTTGAAGTGCTTGGTACTCTACAGGACCCTGCTGAACTGTGGGATACCTTTAGGCGAGGAACTCTGTCAGCTGCCGAGGAGTGCCTTGGTGTCCGACCTCGGCGAAGGAGGCGTGTTGTCTCAGACGAGACACTGAACACTATAGAGATAAGTCGTGCTGCCAGACTGGATGGGAACCATGTCTTGCACAGGGAGCTGTCTCGCTCTGCTAGGGCCTCTTTGAGAGTGGACCAAGAGAGGTACGTTAGGGGCATCGTGGAAGAGTTGGAAGGTCATTTTGCCCAAAATGACCTTCGTCCTGCTTTCTGAGCCCTGAGGGAACTCCGATCAAAGTCCATCTCTCAATCGGGCTCAGTGAGAGCAGAGGATGGTTGCATTGTGTCAGAGCCTGAGGAGTATAGGGCCCGCTGGGCTGAGTACTTTGAGCAACTGTACAGGGTAGATCCCCCGTCTTCACAACTCCCGTTGGCTGGCACACAGCCACTAGTGGCTGATCCACCAATCAGTGAGGCACCACCTTCCATCGAAGAGGTGAGAAGGGCAGTGCCTAAGCTGAAAAGTGGAAAGGCTGCTGGTGTCTGTGGGATTGCTGCAAAGTTGTTGAAGGCGGGTGGAGAAGCCATGATCTGTGGTTTGCATGCAGTCCTGTCTGCCGTTTGGGAGACTGGTACCATTCCCCCTGACTGGAAAAGGGGCTTGGTCATCCCTATCTGTGGCAACTACAGAGGTATTACATTGCTCAGCGTACCAGGCAAGGTCCTCGCTCATCTGCTTCTGGCACGAGTGCGCGACCACCTATTACGAGCACAGAGACTTGAGCAGTCTGGTTTTACACCCAAGAAGTCAACTATAGACCGTGTCTTAGCACTTCGTGTCCTTGTGGAACGCCGACTTGAGTTTCAACAGGGTATGCTTGCAGATTATGTTGATCTCAAGAAGGCTTTCGACTCAGTGCACCGGGAGAGCCTCTGGAGCCTAATGGGTCTCCGTGGGATCCCCCCTGGAATTATTGGTTTGCTGTCTGGCCTGTATACAGATACTGAGAGTGCTGTCAAGTGTGGGGAGGGCATTTCTGCCTTCTTCCCGGTGTGTGCCGGGGTGAGACAGGGATGTGCCCTGGCCCCAACCCTTTTCAACACTTGTATGGACTGGATACTTGGCCGCACCGTGAACCGTAGTTCCTGTGGGGCATCAATTGGTAATTTCAAGGTCACAGACCTTGACTTTGCCGATGATGCAGTGATTCTAGCGGAGGCATTAGAGGTCCTGGAAGTAGCTCTCGAGGCGCTGCATGAGGAGGCGAAGCCGTTGGGACTCGCGGTCAACTGGACCAAGACCAAGGTTCAGGAATTTGGGGACTTTTTGGATGTCGATGCTCAGTCTGTGCATGCCTGTGGCGAGAACACTGAGGTCTTGGATAGCTTCACTTATCTTGGTAGTGTAGTGCATAGCGACGGTGGTTCCGACCGGGAAGTCACTCGACGACTCGGACTGGCCTACGGCGTTATGGACTCACTCAGTAGGAGTATTTGGCGCTGTCGGTATTTGACGAGGTGAACTAAGATCAGGCTCTTCAGAGCACTGGTGATCCCGGTCTTACTCTATGGGTGTGAGACCTGGACACTGAACAGTGCTCTGACAGCCCGTCTTAACTCCTTCGGTACTAAGTGTCTTCACAGAATCATGGGGTATACCTGGAGGGACCTTGTGTCCAATCAGAGGATACTCCATGAGACTGATTCAAGACCCTATTACCAGTCTGATACGAGAGCGCCAACTTCAACTCTATGGACATGTGGCTCGTTTCCCTGAGGAAGATCCGGCTCATAGGGTCATCTCCGAGAGGGTTGACCCAGGCTGGAGAAGACCAAGGGGAAGGCCACGGAACTCATGGCTGAAGCAAGTCGATTAGATCTGCCAAGATGCCCTGGGGGTGGGGGGGGGGATGCTGCATGGAGGCTCGCTCGGAGGGAAAAGTGCAGCCATGCGTATGCCCCCTTATGATGATGATACTAAAGA